ATAACTCATCATACACTCTTAGAGCATTGACAGAACCCAGTATCTGAGACGTTTAATAGAGGTTAGTTCTCCATCTCCGAGATCAGTTGTACCAAAGTTTATGGGACGAATGGTTGTAGTCTCGGCGCACTCAGTGATGAGGTGTTCTGGTTTCCCCATTTTCCCCACAGATTCTGCCTTGGCCGTTGTTTCTGATCTTCAATCTACTGAGATATTCGTTGAGGAGACATTTGTCCCGTTAAAAACCCTGTGATAATCCGAAGATTTTTTTTGGTCGTAAGCCCTGAGAAACATATTCGAGCGCCTTAGACCGTTGGGGGATTCCCATTTCAGGTTACGGATGCAGTCTTCCAGGTTTTTGAGTTCCGCTTTAAGTTGGTTTGCATTTGGGAAGCAGAACGGTCCTGGTTCCGTTAGTAGAGTATTCACTCCTTTTCTAGTTAGATCGTTTTTCATTACCTTCTATTCCTTGGTGGGCACCCAGAGTAGGAGGACTTTATTATCATTGCCTAATTTATTCAGCTTCTCTAAACATTCTTTGACCAACTTCGAATTAATAGTTACTGAGTTGATCGCTTTTAAGGACGCTTCACTATCAGATAAGATGGCTACTTCTTTTTTCCGATAGTCCCTATCTAAGTTGTACGCATCTTTTGATAGAGTAGATTTTTGCCTGAAGGATCCTATTTAGTTTTGAGCCTAAAATTACTAGTATTACTTTCGAATTAGTATGGTATCATCTGTCACTTCTTTGGAATTTTCTCTAATCTATCCACATAAATATTTGAGGTGGAAACATCTTTGAAATTTTCTATTCAGTACTGACAAATGAGAATTTCTGCAGGTGAATTTAGTAAAGATAGTGCCAACTATTTATTTATTTCTTCATAAAAATATAAAAGCATGTACCTACCAAATAATGCCTGACAGAAGATTTTTATTGTTAACAAAAGGAAATGCAATTCTGTATAAACAATTTATAAATTCATATAAAGAAGTCAATATTAGAATAAAAAATACACTAAGTAAATAATAGGTATTTATGGAGAGTGCTCGAAAAACTTTTTCCTATGCACTTTCTTTTCGATATTTTTAACATGAGCGTAATGCCAAAATGTTGGTCACCGTTCTGATACGATGCGTCTTTTATATTTAGACTTAGATCGTTGCTCTTGCGTTGCGTTGATAGGTTGTTACTATAAGGGCCGACCTACATTAAGTCCTGTGTCAAGAGTGCCTGCATGCATCAGAAACACTTCCTACTTATTTTTATAAACAAAGTAGGTATTTAATCCATGAAAAATGGATTACATAAAATATTTTCAATATACAAGGTGGTCCAAATTGTATTCAGGAAACTTCAGCAGTATATTCTGCAGATAAAAATAAGTAAAAAACGTGTAAATATATGTCCTAAAATGCTTAGTTTTGGAGATACAGGGTGTAGAAATTTGATTTTTAATTCGATTTTTTCCAAATAATCTCTGAACTAATGCCGATATTTGGATGAAAATTGGCGCCCGGGTATTTTTTTGACATAAGAAATTTGATTTTCATATGTCTCTTACTTGTAGAGGGCGCCACCTACATATTTTTCAACTGTTTTGAAATGTAGGTTACGGTTAAGGTCCGATATTCAGTTAATATCGACATTACCCGGTTAATCTCGAGAATAACACACGACAAAACAACCAAAAACAAAACCCAAACATTAACCTGTTAATGTCGACATTAAGCGGACCTCGGACCGTAACATATATATATATATATATATATATATATATATATATATATATATATATATATATATATATATATATATATATATATATATATATATATATATATATATATATATATATATATATATATATATATATATATATATATATATATACATAATTACAGACTATAATAGACTATAATATACATACATAATTACAGACTAACCAAACCAAAATATTAAAAAAAACTATCACAATTTTTCAATTTTTGTTTTCAACAAAATCAGGTACCTAGATAATCAATCACTTATATTATTTTAAAAAACTTTCAATCATATGTATACGGGAGCACAAACAATTATAAAAAATACATTTAAAAAAATTAACCACCACATTTTTTTATTAAAACCGAGGATATTCTATTAATTTTAATTGTATTTTTTAGTAATTTTGAATGATCGTAAACTCATAAGTATAAAGTATAATTGAAACCACTAAATTATTCCACTAACTTCGAGGTTCTGAATGAAGCTTGATGAATTAACAATACATTGAATATTTTATTCTGAAGAAATGTAGGTAAGAAAGTTTAGTCTAATTATTAGTCATGAGAAATAAAATGCTCAATTCAGACATTTTAAATCCAAACCAAACTAAATCGTTATTTAAAAAGATTCTCCCGTTTCCAACGTTGCAAGTTTGATGCTTTTCCGATTCGGTTACGCCCGACGAAGCGTCCGTTTCATAAAATATTTATCTAATTATTTTACAACGGTGGTTCAGTTTAATTACCACAAGTCTACGTTCAACTTAAAACTATAAATTGTTGTTGCTCTTTCTCATTAGGCTTGTTCCACGGCAACAACGTACCTACTCGCGTAACGGTTCAACAACAAATACGAAAAATTGCAAGTTTTCGCGATGGAAAGTTTTCTATTTAAAGTAGTTTAATAATACTAGTACTTCTGTAATATTTATTAGACTCTACTCTAGACCACACTACCATTAGTAATATTTTAAATTAAACTACGAAAAAGCAGTTTCGATGCTAAATGGAATACTATGGGATAAAAATATAACTATAGAAAACAAAAAAAGAATTCACAATTCCATAGTAAAAAGTATAATTACCTTCAGCTCTGCAGTATGGCCCTTAAAAGAGAAAGCTGAAAGAAAGCTAAAAGCCACGGAGATGCACTGGAAAATCCAGAAAAGATAAAATATCAAATGAAACCATAAGACGCCAATGGAACTAAACACAACATCGTAGATGACATTAGAACCCAGCAATTAATATGGTATGGACATGTGCAAAGATGGAAGAACATCGAATTCCAAAGATAATATTAAATTGGAACCCTCAAGGTAGAAGAAAAATAGGAAGACCACGCAAGAGCTGGAGAGAGGGTATTGATAAAGAAGGTTTGTACAGAGGTTTGGAAGTAGATGGATGGGGAGATAGAGAGAGGTGGAGATTAGGAATCGGAAGACGGAAAACGTCGTAACCCGATTATATATGTATATATGAAATTAACCTATTATCGAATCTGGTACAGCAACTTTAGTAACACTTTAAGCGGTAAATAGGTAAACATTGATATTGTTGCTCAAGTTTTGTGGCCTTCATTGAAAATACATATCTTACAGCATGTTTAAGCTGCGCTCAATATCAGTTTACAAATTGTGAGTAGAATCCTCGGTAGAATCTCGCAAAACATGAAGGCTAATATTTTGATTATCATCTGCCAGTGGTTAGAAATGAAAAGTTTATTGTTGTATAAGCTAATTATTAGGCTGGGGAAATTAAAACAACTTTCGTTGCACGTCATCAATGACAGCATGCGTCATCTTATGGAGTTTGCTGGTGGTGGTATTATGATGTGCAACCAAAGTTATTTTAATTTCCCAGATACAACTGACTACCGCAAGTAGTTGCTAGTATTATAGTAATATTCTATTAATTCTAATGTACTCTTTTAGACATTATGAATGATCGTAAACTAAGTATAAAATATAATTGCAACCACTAATTTATTCCACTATCTTTGAGAATCTAAATGAAGAGAAAAAGGTTTTTTTTTCTTCCTTTTAAATTTTATGTAACACCCAGCTGTTTATTCTATATGATAAAAATATTTACGATAATTTGTTTCTTCAAAAATTCAAATCTAATATGATACGACAGTTATTTAAATGGATAGTTTAAAAAAGTTTAAATCCCCTACTTCAAAATAATGTAGGTGCTCTTAAAATACCAAATAACGTTGAGGTAACTATAAAAAATACCCTTTAGACAAGTACCTACATATAACTAGCTGCTTTTTAAAACTGTCTCGAATTGAATTCAAGTATTAGGGCATGTCATTAACCATAAACCAATATTTTTTTCCAAAGCCGAGTTACGTTTTTAAAAATATTCAGAAATTATTATTTCAAGGAATTTATTACCAGTAGAAAAAATATTGTGCTGGGTTGGCGTTGGTTTCTATGTAATTTGACAAATAAATAAAGCTGTCTCTTTAGTTGTCAGTTTTGAGTCAATATTTTTTAATTCTCTTTCGATTGCTGATTGAATTGGAGCCAGAAATGGCTCAAAACGAAATTAAGTAAATTACCAAACGCCATATCCAAACTACTTCCATTTAAATCCCGAATAACTTATGAAAAGGAATACAAAAATTTTCAAAAATGGAAGCAATTATAAAACGTGCGAGAAGAAATAAAGTTTTTAACCTATCCTCGCTGTTAAAGTATCATTTAATCTACCCTTGCGGTTAAAGTACTATTTTATCTACTATTTTTGATAGATATACGGCAATTTTAACAGTTGCTATGGAAAAAATGTAATAAACCTCACAATTGTAGGAAATATTGCTGTATTTTGTATCTAAAATGGTAACTACTACGTACTAAGCATCAATTTTTTGACACAATTTGCTGTTACTAGGCACTATTACTAACTGAATTAGGGAAGAATAATAACTTAGCTAATACAAGAATTGTGTGTCATATGTTTGTATGAGTGTAAAGTGTAAATTTACCTATTATAATCTTTTAAATTAAATTAAATTGGTTCTTTCTATGACTAAACTAATCAAGCTAGAAGGCTTTTTAAACAGCTTCAATTCAAATAACGTTACGAAGTATTGCCTAATTTGTTAAAAACCGAAAGCGTTCCGTCGTGGTAGAAAGACCGAAACAGAACACACACTAAGTTTAAAACATACAGAAGTGACCACCCACCCACGCACTAGACATAAAAAAACCAGTACGTACGTGGTCCAGAAGGTCTCATGTATTCTTTTTCTCGTGGCATCTCGGGACGACGACGTTCTTTTACGTCAAATTTTTACATCTTTTGCTAAAATCCTCGGAACTAGATTCACCATTTGCCTGCGCGCACCAAGTAGTAATACGATTTCGTATTAACATTGTCACAAACTAGAAGCGAAGACGCGAAAGTATTCCATTTAATGCCGAGGAATGAGGAGGAGGGTTCACTGGAACCGAAACACTAGATTTTCAACGACGGTCGGTCACTATACGGCGATTCAACGATAGACTTGGGGAAATTGGCGTTAGAGTCTGCAGTTGCGAAGCTGGGCGATCTTAAAAGAGCGGAAACTCGAAGGCTGTCGGGAAAACTTTTCGTTCGGGCTCTCGCAAACGGACGAGAGAAGGATCGTTACAGGACCGTACGCAGCGGAGGCCGTCTCGCGACTGAGGCGAAGGGGACCGACCTAGACCGAACACCTGAGTTACCTGTTAAGGGGAGCGGGGGCAGGAAACGGGCAGGCGGCCACGATTATGCTTTACTGCTGATTAACATTGTTATTCCCATTGTAGTAGAGTGCTCGGCGAGGGATGATGCTATAACTACATCCTTGGAGCGTCTCTCAAAAACTCTTGCGCTACTTTCTTTAAACAATGATGAAAATTAACCTTTTTCAGTGAGATTTGAAATCAAACAATTTACTAAAAAATGAAAATTCTTTTTTCCATCATTGAATTAAATTTTGGATATTAATCTGATTTAATAAGTGGGTAGAGTAATTGGGAGATACAGAAGATGTTTACCTAAAAGATGGACGTGATTGGGGTGATCATTCAATCACCAGATGAATTAATTAGAGCATTTAACAAATTTAAAATAGAAGCGTATGGAAGATGTAGATGAAGACTGAATGGGAAGAGGAAGTTAATGACTGCGACCTTATAGATCTACTGTGTCCCCTTTTTGAGTTATAAATCATCATAGTCTCAGGGCTGTGACAAAAGCCAGTGCCTGAAATGGTTTTACAAAGGTTTTCCTGTTCTCTATCTCCGATATCAGTCGTACCAAAGTTTATGGCACGAATGGTTGTCGTCTCGGTGCACTCAGTGATGAGGTATTCTGGTGTTTCCCCATTTCCCTACAGAATCCGCATTCGCCGTTGTTTCATAGCTTCAATCTACTGAGGTGTTCACTGAGTAGACAGTGTCCCGTTAAAACCCCGTGAAATTCCGAAGATTTTTCTTACTTAAATCAAGGAAAATCCTTGATTTTTCTCGGTCGTATGTTTGGTTTGGTTTGGTGTGATTTTTTTTGGAGAGTTTAGACCGTTGAAGATCCAGTTGAGGTTCCGGATAGAGTTTTCCAAGTTCTTGAATTCCACTTTAAGTTCTTTCTACTTGCGAAGCATAACGGTTCTGGTCCAGTTAGAGAAGTGTTCGCACCTTTTCTAGTTAGATCGTTTGTTTCTTCATTACCTTCTATCGCTTGGTGGGCTGATACCCAGAGTAGGAAAAATTTATTTTCTTTCCCTAATTTGTACATCTTCTCTAAGCATTCTTGGCCAACTTCAAATTGATGGTGGCATATTTTCTACCGATGACAATGTACAGTGGTTAGCGAATGGTGGGCTAGAATGAACCATGTCCATTACTGCTGTTAGGCAGGTTCTCGTGGCTCCTGTGATGCAGATACATCCCAGTCGCTGCATTTTGCACATGTTTTGCTTTGCTGTAAGTTGCTCTAGTTTTGTGTATCATACAAGCAACTGCACCATAAGTAATCATGGGTCTTACTATCATCGTATACATCCAGCCCAAAACGTTAGGGACGCAGCTCTATCTATTTCCCGCCAGTCTTTTGCATATCACAAGAGCCTTTGAGGCTTTGCTGGTAACGTTTTTGTTGATTACACATACTTAATACATATTTGCATTTTTGCATATTTTCAGAGCCTACTTTAAACATTTATAACTTATTCTGTTTACGCAGTGGTTAAGTCTTGGATAAGGAATTTCAATTGATCAGTGTTTAATTATCCTTCAAGTGCAAATTAAATAATAATACATTGTGCTTCATAATACGTGATTTAAAAAACAATTACATATTTAAATATACATAGAAATTATAAAGAATCGTTAAATTTATATTATGACCGGGTAGATTTTCAATAACTATTTAGTTATTTTTTCATTTATACTTTATCCTGAAACTGTTAATTATTAGCACTGAATTAAAAAAAATACAAGTTGGGTAACACCAACTCATGAGCAGCAATTTCTTAAGTTTTTTGGAAGGTTGTGCAAACTAGTGGTTTATTTTGCTGTTGTAACGAAAAAGAATCCAACCTCAACTCTACATTTCCAGACTATCAATTTACATACCCAACTCTTGTAATTTTATTACATTATAAACATATCAATCATTATCTTTCTTTAAAAAAGTAAAACCAAAAAACATCCAATCTATAATATATGTTTCAAATATTATCAAACATCGTACAAGTAATACTTCCTATTTCTACAATATCCACTATACTAATAAAATCTGAAACATGAACGAATATTAACGAAATCATCCCATTGAAGTATTTGTTGGTTATTTAATATCTAATTTGATTGGTTATCGTTTCCTAGCCGATTATCTACTTCAGCTACCCAAGGGGATTGGCTATATCGAAGTCGATGAGTAATGTGTACGTGAGAATACATTCACGGATAAGCACTCGTCGTGCACCAATAAGTTGTCGTGCACTTACAAAGTACCGCCTAATCTGTAGCGGGATTTAGATTATTGATATTTCAATCAATGGTCTTTATCATTTATAATGACAAATTAAATCAGATATAATATAATAATTAGCAATTAAACAATTAATTATATTTAGGGATCGGCAAGACAAAAATCTTGTCTTGACAAGCAATTACTTGTCTTGTCTTGAAATATTTTCAAGAATTAAAAAAAATCTTGTCTTGACCATTTCTTGAGAGTTGATTTCTTGTCTTGATTCAAGAAATCTTGAAATTTCTTGATATCTTGACAAAAGGGGAACCCCCGTTTAAAATTCGTTTATTAAAGGGGAACCCCCTGTTTAAAAGTCGCAGTGAGATTGGTTAATGTTTATGCTTTATGCGTAAAATCGAGGGTCAGGCATCTAATTTTCAAAAAATTCAAAAACTTTGGGCTCATTATACTACAGTAGCCAAAATCATCAGCTTTACATAATTTTGTTAATTATTATTATTATTATCTAACATTAAAACGAGTGATTGTGATGGTTCGTTTTCCAGCAAATCTGAGCCATTCGTAATCGAATCTGATTCAGGATACCTACCACCTTAGGCACCTGGACGTAGAAGTTTAATTCGTGACTTTGACAGTAGTAACGGTGATAATACTACTATATACAGATAAAAACAGTCAAAACAACAATGATAAAAGCTACTCTACTTCAATGGCGTACATTAAAATGTATTATTTTAATGTACTACTCATTCGCATATCTACATATGACAATGTGCAGTGCTAGGTCTAAAATGTCATACATTGCTGAGGCTAGGTTGGTTCTCATGACTCCTGTGATGCAGATGCATGCCAGTCTCTGCATTTTGCACAGGTTTTGCCTTGATATTTTAGTTTTGTGTACCAATCAACTGATCCCATCCCATCTGAAGTAGTAATCATGAGTATACATATATACATTCAGCGAAAAACGTTGGAGGCGCAGCCCTATCTATTTCCCGCCAGTCTTCTGCATATCATGAGAGCCTTTGTGGCCTTTGCTGGTAATTTCTTAATATGCCTGTTCCACAGAAGTTTATCGATCATGGTTATTCTAAGATATTTGACTTCCTGTAATGGTGGTATTTCTTTTCTATCTATATAGTTGGATTCTTTTCAGGTTTTTCACACTTCGCTTTCTGGTGAATGGCACTGTCGTGATTTTGTCTGAGTTGATGCTCAGCCCGACAGTCTTGTTTTTGTAACTTTATTAAGGAAAAATTGCTATATTAAGGTCTATATTAACTTAATAACTCGAGAATAATTCTGCTAAACTACTTTCACCTTCATAACCAGAAAATACCAGCCTATAAGCTCTTATAAAATTATCCTATAAAATATATTTTACTTCTCAGAAACTAGAGATCTTTTATATTCCTATCGACAACTCGCAATGGTTTTGTTTTTGAAAATAAACGTACCAACTTGACACAAGTTTTGCTTCTAAATAATAGATTCTATAAAAGTTAGTTTTTAACGACTGAAGTTGAAAAAATATCGTAAAATGAATTCTGAATAATTTATAATCTCGGATTAAAACCACACGGACGTTTATTATAATCCAATTGATGTTAAACTTATTCAGCAAGGAAATCATAAAATATGCAAAAGAAAATAGCCCTTTCCCGATATTTTGCATGTTTAAAATCGTCAAAGAACAATCGTTCTTAACCGTTAAAAAATAATGACATGTTTAAAATCACGAAGGAAATGTCGATTTGAAAAGGAGTAACTAATTTGAGAAATAATTTGGCCATTAAATATGTAAGATAAAACGTGGGAGGCGGTATTAGAAACACACCAATAATTCCCGAGAGCTTAATGTATCCATGTATAAATAAATATAATTCCACAAATGATATCGCCAATGAACATGACAGAAAACGGATGAATATTTTAAACTAGCAATCAACAAGCAATTAAATTGGAATTCTTAATATCAAAACTTTGATGTTGCAGAAAAGAATCATTATTATTCTATTTTTTTCTGTAATTGCTTCTGAAAAATTCACATATTAATAAAGAGTACAATTTAAAGTTCTTATTTTTAGAAAGTTATAAAAATAGGTAGGTAAACGTCAATAGCGGTTCCACAATCGGTTTTATTACGTAGAATGTCTGGGGGGGGTAATCACAGCGTTGGTGAATGCACATTGCATTCACTGCATTCAGTGCATTCAGAATCATATCAATTCTCTCTGATGTAGGATAAGTTTGGATTTTCGACAAATTTCTGAGAATTTTTTTTGTTTTAACTGACACAAAATGATAACTAGTTGTTAAAGTTGGACTAATTAGACAGCTATGTTGAAGTAACGTTAGACATAGCACAGCCACCTAGATTTTATCAAATAATAAAGATCTACTCAGATCAAATCATGTAAATGAAAATATCTAGGAAAACCTTTGTTTGAGGGGTAGGCAACCTTAATAGTATTTTGAAAAGACATAAATTCTCCATTGAATATCGGAATAATGTTATTCCTTACTGGGTGTTTTATTTAAAATAAGAGAGTAACATGCTTTTAAAGGTGACCAATGTTCAATATTAATTTTGTCTCACCCTGTATAACTTTTTGGATTAAGTTTTAATTTGATTTAAAGTACGATAGTTAATTTAACTACATGTTAGGCTATACCGGGTAAATTCCAATTTAGGTAGCT